TAGGTACTGGTACTCTGATGGAGGTGGTGTAGGTACTGATACACTGGTGGAGGAGGTGTAAGTACTGGTACACTGATGGAGGAGGTGTAGGAACTAGCATGCTGATGGAAGAGGTGAAGTTACTGGTACACTTGGTACTAGTACGCACTGGTGGAGGGGTGTAGGTACTGCTACTCTGATGGAGGGGATGTGGGTACTGGTATGCTGATGGAGGAGGTGTAGGTACTAGTACACTGATGGAGGAGGTGTAGGTACTGGTACTCTGATGGAGGTGGTGTAGGTACTGATACACTGGTGGAGGAGGTGTAGGAACTAGCATGCTGATGGAAGAGGTGTAGGTACTGGTAAACTGATGGCGGAGGTTTAGGTACTGGTACACTGATGGAGGAGGTGTAGGAACTAGCATGCTGATGGAAGAGGTGAAGTTACTGGTACACTTGGTACTAGTACACTGGTGGAGGAGGTGTAGGTACTGCTACTCTGATGGAGGGGATGTAGGTACTGGTATACTGATGGAGGAGGTGTAGGTACTGGTACACTGGTGGAGGAGGGGTAGGTACTGGAACACTGATGTAGGAGGTGCAGGTACTGGTACACTGGTGGAGGATGTGTAGGTACTGGTACACTGATGGAGGAGGTGTAGGTACTCGTAGACTGATGGCGGACGTGTAGGTACTCGTACTCTGATGGAGGAGGTGTAGGAACTAGCATGCTGATGGAGGAGGTGTAGGTACTGGTACACTGATGGAGGAGATGTAGGTAATGGTACACTGATCTAGGAGGTGTAGGAACTAGCATGCTGATGGAAGAGGTGTAGGTACTGGTACACTGGTGGAGGAAGTGTAGGTAATGGTACTCTGATGGAGGAGGTGTAGGTAATGGTTCACTTGGTACTGGTACACTGATGGAGGAGATGTAGGTACTGGTACTCTAATGGAGGAGTTGTAAGTAATGGTACACTGGTGGAGGAGGTGTATGTACTGGTACACTGGTGGTGGATATGTAGGTACTGGTACACTGATGGAGGAGTACTGGTACACTGATGGAGATGAATACTGGTACACTGATGGAGAGATGTAGATGCTGGTACTGATGGAGGAGGTGTAAGAACTAGCATGCTGATGGAAGAGGTGTAGGTACTGGTACACTTGGTAATGGTACCCTGATGGAGGAGGTGTAGGTACTGGTACACTGGTGGAGGAGGTGTAGGTACTGGTACACTGATGGAGGAGGTGTTGGTACTGGTACACTTGGTACTGGTACACTGATGGAGGAGATGTAGGTACTGGTACTCTGATGGAGGCGGTGTAGGCACTGGTACACTGGTGGAGGAGGTGTAGGTACTGGTACACTTGTTGAGGAGATGTAGGTACTGGTACACTGATGGAGGAGGTTTAGGTACTGGTACACTGATGGAGGAAGTGTAGGTACTGGAACGCTGATGTAGGAGGTGTAGGTACTGGAACACTTGGTACTGGTACACTGATGGAGGAGATGTAGGTACTGGTAAACTGGTGGAGGAGGTGGAGGTACTGGTACACTGATGGAGGAGGTGTAGGTACTGGTACACTGATGGAGGAGATGTAGGTACTGGTACACTAATGTAGAAGGTGTAGGATCTAGCATGCTGATGGAAGAGGTGTGGAACTAGCATGCTGATGGGAGGTGTAGGTACTGGTACACTGATGGAGGAGATGTAGGTACTGGCACACTGATGCATGCTGATTGAAGAGGTGTAGGTACTGGTACACTGGTGGAGGAAGTGTTGGTAATGGTACACTGGTGGAGGAGGTGTAGGTACTGAAACACTGATGGCGGAGGTGTAGGTACTGGTACAATGATGGAGGAGGTGTAGGAACTAGCATGCTGATGGAAGAGGTGTAGGTACTGGTACACTGATGGACGAGGTGTAGGTACTGGTACACTTGGGACTGGTACACTGATGTAGGAGATGTAGGTACTGGTACACTGGTGGAGTAGGTGTACGTACTGGACCACTGGAGGGGGATATGTAGGTACTGGTACAATGATGGAGGAGGTGTAGGTACTGGTTCACTGATGGAGGAGGTGAAGGAACTAGCATGCTGATGGAAGAGTTGTAGGTACTGGTACACTTGGTAATGGTACACTGGTGGAGGAGGTGTAAGTACTGCTACACTGGTGGAGGAGGTGTAGGTACTGATACACTGATGGAGGAGGTGTAGGTACTAGTACACTAATGGAGGAGGTGTAGGTACTGGTACACTGATGGAGGAGGTGTAGGAACTAGCATGCTGATGGAAGACGTGTAGGTACTGGTACAGTTCGTATTGGTACACTGTTGGAGGAGGTGTAGGTACTGATACACTGGTGGAGGAGGTGTAGGTACTGATACACTGATGGAGGAGGTGTAGTTATTGGTACACTGATGGAGGAGGTGTAGGTACTGGTACGCTGTATGGAGTAGGTGTAGGTACTGGTAAACTGGTGGAGGAGGTGTAGGTGCTAGTACACTTGTGGAGGAGGTGGAAGGCAGGCCACTGGATGGAGGAGGTGTAGGCTGGCACACTTGGTACTAGCTGGATGGAGGAGGTGTAGGTACTGGTACACTGATGGAGGAGGTGTAGGTACGGTACACTGGATGGAGGAGGTGGGTACGGCTACACTGGTGGAGGAGGTGTAGGTACTGGTACACTGATGGAGGAGGTGTAGGAACTAGCATGCTGATGGAAGAGGTAGGTACTGGTACACTGATGGAGGAGGTGTAGGAACTAGCATGCTGATGGAGGAGGTGTAGGTACTGGCAACTGGATGGAGGAGGTGTAGGAACTAGCATGCTGATGGAAGAGGTGTAGGTACTGGCACACTTGGTACTGGTACACTGATGAGGAGATGTAGGTACTGTACTTGATGGAGGAGGTGTAGGTACTGGTACACTGATGGAGGAGGTGTAGGTACTGGATACACTGGTGAAGGAGGTAATGGTACACTGATGAAGGGTACTGGCACACTGATGGAGGAGTGTAGGTACTGGTACACGATGGAGGAGGTGTAGGTACTGGCACACTGATGGAGGAGGTGTAGGTACTGGTACACTGATGGAGGAGTGTAGGTACTGTTACACTGATGGTTTGCTTTCCAAACTTCCCTCATATGGTTTCTCCACTTTGTTTTCTTAATATCTAGCTTCTTGCCAATCCATGGCAGTTGTTGTCGAGGGATCTCTCTGCCTTTCTCTTTCCAATAGGTTCCACAGGCTTCTCTTGTTTCAACTACTCTTCGTACTACTTCTACACTACAACTAATTCTATCTATTCTTATTCTGATGATTATACTCTTCACTCTTCATATTTTCCCCTTCCCCCTAACTCTCAAACTAGATCTGTTTCTAGAGCTGATATCATTACATCTATCAATGCGGGTATGTGCAGCAACTCCGAATGGGGGGGTAGAAACTTGGTTAAATTCAATAGAAACAAAACTCAGTATTTACCAATTACACTCTCCAAATTAGGTGATCTCACACCAATTACATTTCAGGACGCTATCATTCTGCCAAATTCTAAAATATCTATGCTATGCCTTAGAATAACCCTTTATAGTGCATCCTTTCTTTCTCACACAGCCAAACTGTGGGATGCTCTGCCTTCTTCTGTGTTCCCAATACCATACAATCTGTCTCGCTTTAAGAATGTGATTTTCCGGCAACTTCGCGGTGTAAATTGATATAACCTTTTCCTTTTCTATTTTTAATTTATTTTTATTCTTATTTTTTGACCGCTAGGCCCCGTTGTGGGTCGTTGACCTGTGCCCGGGTGGGTTAATCCAAGAAAATAAAAACACTTGGAGGAGGTGTAGGTACTGATACACTGGTGGAGAAGGTGTAGGTACTGGTAGATTGATGGAGATGTTGGTACTAATACACTGACGGAGGAGGTGGAGGTACTGGTAGATTGATGGAGATGTTGGTACTAATACACTGACGGAGGAGGTGGAGGTACTGGTAGATTGATGGAGGTGTAGGTACTGATACACTGGTGGAGAAGGTGTAGGTACTGGTAGATTGATGGAGATGTTGGTACTAATACACTGACGGAGGAGGTGGAGGTACTGGTAGATTGATGGAGATGTTGGTACTAATACACTGACGGAGGAGGTGGAGGTACTGGTAGATTGATGGAGGTGTTGGTACTAATACACTGACGGAGGAGGTGGAGGTACTGGTAGATTGATGGAGGTGTTGGTACTAATACACTGACGGAGGAGGTGGAGGTACTGGTAGATTGATGGAGGTGTTGGTACTAATACACTGACGGAGGAGGTGGAGGTACTGGTAGATTGATGGAGGTGTTGGTACTAATACACTGACGGAGGAGGTGGAGGTACTGGTAGAGGTGTTGGTACTAATACACTGGACGGAGGAGGTGGAGGTACTGGTAGATTGATGGAGGTGTTGGTACTAATACACTGACACTGACGAGAGGACTGGTGGAGGTACTGGTAGATTGATGGAGGTGTTGGTACTAATACACTGACGGAGGAGGTGGAGGTACTGGTAGATTGATGGAGGTGTTGGTACTAATACACTGACGGAGGAGGTGGAGGTACTGGTAGATTGATGGAGATGTTGGTACTAATACACTGACGGAGGAGGTGGAGGTACTGGTAGATTGATGGAGATGTTGGTACTAATACACTGACGGAGGAGGTGGAGGTACTGGTAGATTGATGGAGGTGTTGGTACTAATACACTGACGGAGGAGGTGGAGGTACTGGTAGATTGATGGAGGTGTTGGTACTAATACACTGACGGAGGAGGTGGAGGTACTGGTAGATTGATGGAGGTGTTGGTACTAATACACTGACGGAGGAGGTGGAGGTACTGGTTCACTGATGATGTGTAGGTACTGATACACTGGTGGTGAGGTGTAGGTACTGGTATACTGGTGGTGAGGTTTAGGTACTGGTACACTGGTGGTGATGTTTAGGTACTGGTACACTGATCATCCTATTGTACATACCTCACCATACATGTGACGTCACAGTACAGCGTATAATTGGCGATAACACTTAACACCGCTAAAAATTTGTTGAGATGCTTAATAGTTGAGCACTACTGTGGTGGGCACGTGGCGGCAGCTCGAGTGTGAGTGTGGGTGAGTAAACGGAGCGAAAGTGGGATAGGCTGCCAGAGCCCAATTTAGCTTGGGTGTCTGCACAATACCACGTTCTTGATGTTTTCCCAGGAAGAGAACAAACGTTGTGTTTACTTGGTCAAGACGCTATCCGGTTTTGAATATAAACTACATGTATTGCAATGAACGCAATTTATAGGCTGCTTTTTCAACTTTTCCAATAATGATCTATTTTTAAATTGTTATTTCTGACAAGATTACGATTAGTTGCGATGTTTTAACGCAACTCGATTGGCAGTAACTCTTGGTAACCCCTATTTGAAAAAAAATTTTCCTATAATGAAAAAGGATTACCTAACACCACCAAATTTTAATTTTCAGTTCACCGCTACCACGCAGAGGAAGCACTGCTCACAATTCGTTGGAACTGGCAGGCACCGGAAGGCACTTGCCACCGCAACAGTTATAGATGGTAAAAGTCCTCATTCATTTCCTTAAGACGGAGATAAGTACTCTAAAATGTCCTCCTCAAACTCCCTGTCGAAGCCCTCGTTCTCCTGTTCATTAATGGTAAAGATCTTCCGTAAATATCGCTGATGTAGTTGTTCTTGGTTTTCCTCCTCGAATATTTTCACGTTGTTTTGGTCGAGCAGGTAAGGGACCGTGTTAGAGGTGGAACCCATCAGTCGCTTGATCCCTTTCCAGAAAACGGTAGAATCGCGGTATTTGTTGGCAGCCTCCCACACCAAAGCGGCCCACTTTTGTTCATGTAGACGTTTGCTCTCGCGCTGGATGTCCGTCTGCAGCTCTCGGTATCGGTCTCTCAGCTCTTGCGTCCACCCGCAGATACTGGCTAGCTGTCTCACGTGATCGTACTGGACACTGAGCTGCCTCAGCTGGTGACAAATGTGAGGGTGGGGAATTGTCCTGTGGGTGGTGGTCGGGATGTTGTTGTCCATTTCCGTCTTCACATCAGTGTACCATTGTTCGACCGCGTCGTCGATGTCATTGGGGCTGGCCTCTTCCAGGTTCCTCCCCTTCTTGAGACTGAGAGACGCCTTAAAGGAGTCCCAGTCAGCCCGTTTGAGACTTGACCTGATGCTAGCGAGGATCATAATGGGATTGGATGAGAGCGTCACGACGACTGGCAGATGGTCGCTGGTACTGATGGGTCCGGCAGTTACGTGCCTGTTCAGGACGGCCTCGTTGTTAGAGAGGATTATGTCGGGTGTTGTGGCACTGGCACATCTGATCAATGTCGAGAAATCTGGGTCGAGGTGTTGCAGTTTTCCCCTTCTGATGTCGTCATACAGCGCCACACCGACGTTGCTCTCATTACCATGTCCGAGTATGGCGTGGCGCGCATTTAAGTCCCCTATTATGTATGTTGATTTTCTGTGGCGTAGCAACTGGTTTAGGTCTTGTTCGGGTAAGGACGTCTGGGAGGTAGGTACATTGTGCCTATGATAACAGGTCCCCTAGTTGTCTCCACCTGCACTCCCGGAACTGAATCCTCGAAGTCTGGCAACACTCTGTGACTCAGCCGTGACCTGATGGCCACAGCGACACCATCGTTCAGCTCACTCGTCATGTTCCTCTGGTATATAGTGTAGGCAAAAAAAATCAGCTTACTTTCGTCCTTTATGCCAGTACTGTTTAACAGAATCATGGTTGAGTCTAATTTATAGTATAAGTTAGACAGTTCGTTACGTCTATTAAAGGACCAGTGTAGGACATTATGTTGAACAATTTTCATCCTGCTAACGACTGCCATTTCGGAGACTGTAGCTCGGCTTCTGCTATTTCTAGGGAGGCCGGAACTTCTTAGCAGAACCTTCGAACATCTGCTTGTCAGTTAATGGCGGGCCCTCGAACTTCTCGTCACCCGTGTACAGGAAGATGTTCAGGTTCTGGACCTGCGTGTCATAGACATCTACTGACGCTGCAGCTCGAAGGTCTTGTTCCTATGTGGAATAAGTCTCCATCATCTGGTCACAACCATTGACTCTGGTTGCAGTCCGATGGTCACTGTCGTCCATGGGAGTCCATGTCTTAGGGTCACGGAAAATTACGGTGTCGCTGGAGCTGTGATCCCAGGGGGACTGAATGGTCACCTCGGGCTATGATTATACTGACTTTTGCCTAAGTCAGTGAGGTCATGGTCCATTTCTGGCGTGGGTTGAGGCCGTCCATAGGTCGTTGAATGGGTTACTGCCTTCAGGATTTCTTTTGAAGGGACTTCGTCGCTTATTTCAACAGGTGCAATGTTGTTCCTGGTTAGTGTCTCGTTGAGGTGTTTCGAGAATGAACTTGGATGAACCAAGTTCATGTGATGGGCTGCATGCAGGGAAGATTTGATTTTGTTTTTGCCGCTTACAGCGGCTACTTTATTGTGCACCCCACACTCATCCTGTGAGCGGTAGCGCAAAAGGATTACAGAGTAGGGTTTACAACGGGTCATAATAATTAACCCCCGTTGTCAGGATATTATGGCACTGAATGTTACACAGTATTTCATTTACATTATTTGTTTAGTTCTATACATAAAGGGTAACTTATTCACAAATGCGTGAGTACAGGCGTGTGAGGCAGTATGTCTGGCCTCACACTTTGTTATTCACATTTACGTGAGAAGTATTGAAGCATATTGCGTATTTGGTTTTGTACATGAGAATTGATATAGTTACTAAGTGCAAAAAAGTGGATACAATCTTAATATGTCGGCTATCTTGCCATTAGAGATGAAATGTTGTGCCATTTCACACACAGTGTGCTTGGATCTGTCCCTAAAAGGTTCTATCTTCACACAGTCGAGGACGTAGTGTTCAAGTGTGTGGCCATATGTATGGACGCACACTTTACATTTAGTTTTGTTTACATCTGCTTGAGGAACATACTGCCAAAGGTACTTATATCCTAACCTTAATCTAGCGGTTACAACATCTTGTAATCTAGTGATCTTGTTACTTGCTCCATATACATGTTTCACTTGATACATCTCATCATGGTAACCTATGGATCGACTAGTGCCTGTTTGCACTTGTCTACTTGCGTCAAACTCATCAATAAGTTCTTTCCTAATTACAGTTTTAAGGGTTCTTTTTGACAGACCCAAATTGTATTACAGTATGTAGCGGTGGCTTTGGACTCGTCCAGCTGTGGAGAGAAGACGCTCCTGATGTTCTCGGCCACTGCGTCCCTCATGGCACCCAGTGACTCAGTAACTGCCTGCTTTATTGAGTCCTTGATGGTTCTTATCTCTGATTGCAGGACTTCCATGGTCTCCCTGACATTGTTAAGTTTTTGTGAGTCTGTTTGAGTTTCTTTCAGAGCGTCTTTTAAGGTTTGGCTGTAAGCTACGATTATCGACTGAGTGGTCTTTTTTTTGTGGTCTTAGAAATTTCCCTTGGTTATTTCGGTCAGTTTCTTCTGTTTCTTGAATTACCCGTTTCCTGACCAGGCAGGTGGCAGAAAAGGTCATGTGGTCACCCTCACAGACGATTCACTATTTGATGGTGCTACGGCAGTCTTTGTAGAAGTGTTGATCAGAAGAACACTCAGAGCATATAACCCCTTGCATGTATACGCAGCCTGTGAGAACCTCGGTCTTATTATCTCCACTGAGAAAACTAAGGTGTTCAACAAACAAGCTGGTAACCGCAAACGCGGCCCCGCCAAGTTCAAGATTGGCAACAACACTATTGACAATGTTTCTTCTTTTAAATATCTTGGTGTTTCCGTCCCTTGTACCATACCTGCCATACAACAGCTAACCCGCCAATGTACTGACAGACTGAGACCTCTTAGAAGTGTAGCGGGGTACAGCCCGCACTATGGTGCTAATATTAGAATTGTTAAAACAATGTACCTAGGCTATATAAGATCTCTGATAGATTACCACGCACCAGCCCTGGTCATTCGTGACGGGAAAGGCGTTGACTAGCTCGAGAAAATGCAAAACAAAGCCCTCAGAATTATCCTAGGATGTCCCATGAGCACTAAAGTACTTAATATGATGAAAGAACTAGGTATACCCAGTGTTAAAGATAGAATAATTGAAGTCAACCTCATGATAGCCCTGAGGCTTCTGCGTGGTGATCCTGATAACATTGTTTCCTTAAACTTGCTAGAATGTATGAACCATGGGACTACTGAGTCTAAATGGACCCAAACTACAGCTACACATATGAAGATGTTTGGACTAGACCACCAGTACAAAGTCGAGACACAACAGAGCTTCCTGCCACCCTGGCGGACAGTTCCCTTCGATATCACAATACCGACGTATCCGCCTAAAAAATTAATTATACAAAGCATTTATCTCCAACACACTGCCAAATTGAGAGCTCTTGAACACATACACACTCTACAGACTGATGATAATATCACACAGACCATCTACACTGATGGATCTCTTAACACCGCCTGTGGGAGGGCTGGAAGTGCTATTGTTGTGACTCAACCTGACGGTAATGTAATTGAGAAAGGAGTTAGAATTAACAACTGGGCATCCACTCTACAAACTGAATTAGTTGCCATACTCACAGCTATTAAATTCATTGAAACCACTGTTACTGACAGTCTCATCATCATTGACTCTCTATCCTCACTACTTGCCCTTGGCACCCTCGACTCAGGTTGTCACGCTCTTGTCTCTGAAGCCAGACACAAATATGCGTGCCTTGTTGACCGGGGTGTCAAGGTCAAACTGCTGTGGATTCCCTCTCACATAGGCCTCATAAAACATGACAGAGTTGATGCCCTCGCCAAACTCGCGTCTAACAAAGACACCGTTGAATACAATTTGGGTCTGTCAAAAAGAACCCTTAAAACTGTATTTAGGAAAGAACTTATTGATGAGTTTGACGCAAGTAGACTAGTGCAAACAGGCACTAGTCGATCCATAGGTTACCATGATGAAATGTATCAAGTGAAACAAGATCACTAGATTACAAGATGTTATAACCGCTAGATTAAGGTTATGATATAAGTACCTTTGG